TGTTTATCCATTCGTCTGTTGATGGGCACCTAGGTTGTTTCCATCTTTTTGCTATTGTGAACAGTGCTGCAATGAACATGGGTGTGCATATTAGCTGTTCGTGTGATGACTCTTATTTCTCTAGGATATATTCCAAAGAGTGGGATAGCTGGATCGTATGGTACTTCTATTTCTAGCTTTTTAAGGAAGCGCCAAATCGATTTCCAAAGTTTCACCACTGTCTCTTGATTACAGTAGTTTTATAGTAAGTCTTGAAATCAGGTAGTGTGAGTCGTCCAACTTTGTTCTTTCAGAATTGTTTTAGATATTCTGTGTACTTTACATTTCTATATAAATTTGAGAATCAGCTTGTCAATTTCTGCAAGAGAGTCTGCTGCAGTTTTGATTTGGATTGTTTTGAATCTACAGATCAATTTGGGGACAATTTACATGTATTAACAGTATTGAACCTTCCAGTATCTTCCTTTTATTTTTAATTTTCCCCTAGATTAAAATTTCAAATTCCTCATGAGCGGACAGAGTCCTGGCAAGTGTGAGAAAGCCCACCTCCCTCTCCTGCTTGGTTAAATGGGGCAGAAAATGAGCAGCTTGGCAGGCCGTGTTTCTGAACGCCAGGCTGTGGGTCAAAGTTACTTTTGGTTAATATGATGTTGCACATTGGTATTTTTTAAAAAGGAATTCCCAAGGTGTTACCATAGCAACTCATGTTCCTAGAAGCAGAATACATTTTTAACTTGGCAATTTCTTGCCTTGTGTTCAGTAATTTCTAATTTTAGAAAGACTGAAAACCTTGTTGAAACTACCAAAGGTGGTTTAAAATTTTTAGGAATAAAAGGCATATATGGATGGATTCATGTTTTGTTTTGTTTTTCTTTCTTTCATGTTATAAAAACATTTTAAAAAATTCACCAACTATTTTGCAGAAGTAGAAGAGGACATGGGGCCAGACAAGGTTTAGATAGTAATATATCATAACCATCAAATCCCATTAAACTGTAAGTTCCTTGAAGATGGTGCCTGTCATGCTTACTACTTTATCCCCCAGTGCCTGGCATTTCGTAGACATTCAGTACACATCTGTTGAATGAATAAGTCAATTTTGTTCTATGATTTTATTTTCTCCTGTAGGCTTTGGGCACTAACTTACATTCTTTCCCTTCCAAAGTGGAATTGCCACTTGACTAATACTGTATAATAATTGAAGAAAGTTTGTATTCTTCTGTCCTCTGTCCAAGAATCAATTTTCACAATAATCAGTGGGAAGTGAAGAAATACAAGATCATTAGTTAAAGACTTCCAGGGGGATGTGTTTCAGAGAGAGTTGGCCAACAGTGGGGCAGTTGTTGCCCCTGGTGAGGAGCAAGGGGAGAGTGCAGTTCAATCCTTGTGAATTAGAGCAGGCCCACCGGCCAGTCCGCTGCCGAGAAGTAGAAAACGGTGGTTTGGAACGTGTTAAACCTTCTTCTAGATGTGGGCGTTTGGGGTGTGTTCATCGGAAGGACTGTTGGTTTATAAAAACCTACTCTTCCCGTTACCCCCAAATCTTCTCTGTACAAGATAAATTGAGACACCAGCCTTCTTCGTGGGGGTGCGTCAGCGTAGTGAATCTTTTCAATGCATTCTCCTCGGGAGATCCCTGTATTCCAGTTTTGTTTTGGTATTCACCAGGCTACCCTTTATTGAGTTTCTTGTCATAAATCTTCAGGCATCAGCACCACACTTGATTTTGGTGCCTGAAGAGTATACCTTAGACTGGGAACATTCTTAACAAAAATTCACTTGAAGCAAGACCTGACTAACAGGGAGTCTAGAGCTGAGCTCCTTGGTCCAAGTTACCACTTCGTGACAGGAGGTATTGGTATCCACCATTCAGAGGGAAAATGGAAAGGACTTTAAACTTTGTCCTGCTGGATGTAGTAACCGTCTTTGGGTATAAATACCTGGTAAGGCAAAGTTGAAATATTGTTTAATAGTAGAACCTAGATGAGTTACTGTTTGATTATCTGTGAGGAATATATTCCTTTTTTCCCTTTACAGATCATCCTGCTAAATTCTGCCTCTGACCTTCACGGCTACATTGATAAAAGCCAGCTCACACAGGAGCTAGGGGGAACTCTGGAATATCGCCACAGTCAGTGGATAAATCATCGAACTGTGAGTACTAACCTGTGTTCCCTTTTCACAGTCTCTCCTTGTTTTCCAGAGGATGGAGGACTTAAGGATCAATGGTTGGGAGTGCACTGCCCATGACTTCCTCACCTTGGGAATGCTGGGTCTTTTTCTAAGCCACAGGCTGGGGAAGAAATATGGTGAAAGGGTTAAGGCTTGAGGTTTGTCATGCTGTCTACCCTTATCTCACTGCATACTGTACACTGGCATGGGTGCCCCAAGGAGTTTTCAAGAATACCAGTACCCTTGGAGCCCTGGTGGTGCAGTGGTTAAAAGCCCGGCTGCTAACCAAAAGGCGGGCAGTTCGAACCTGCCAGCCGCTCCTTGGAAATCCTGTGGGATAGTTCTGCTCTGTCCCATAGGGTCACTATGAATCGGAATTGACTCGATGACAACGGGTTTGGTTTGGTTTTGATTTGGTAAATCTCAGAGAAATTGATTTACTTGATCTGGGACAGGACCCAGACATTAGCATCCCACAAAACTCCCCAGATGATTCTAATGCACAGACAAGACTGAGACCCACCAGAGAATACAGATTTTGAAATCAGACCAAGCTTCATTTAAATGTTGTCACCATTAGCTATTGTCTGACCTTGGATGAGCTACTAAAGCTCTTTGACCTTGTTTCCACTTTGTTGACACCGTGGTTCTCAGCTGGGGCAGTTTTGCCTACCTCAGGACATTTGTCAATGTCTGTAGACTCTTTTATAGTCATCACCTGGGGAGGGGCTGGAGAACAAAGGGAATGTCCAGTGGATAGAGGCCAAGGATGCTGCTAGACATCCTGCAGTGCGCAGGGTAACTCCCTACAACAAAGAACGACCTGGCCCAAAATGTCAAAGGTGCTGATGGTGAGGAACCCTGGACTAACAGAAGCCACCTGAAAGCCTGATGTAGGGAATCTGTGAAAGCCCCTGGTATGTAATATTTTACTTTTCTTTTCTTTTCCTGGAAACACTGGCACAATGGTTAAGAGCTACAACTGCTAACCAAAAGGTCGGCAGTTCGAATCCACCAGCCGCTCCTTGGAAACCCTATGGGGCAGTTCTACTCTGTGCTGTAGGGTGGCTGTGAGTCGGAATCGACTCGACGGCAGCGGGTTTGGTTTGTTTTTCTTTTCCTGTTTGGTCATATTGGTGGTTATTTTGCTAAACTAGCTGAGTCAGTAATATTATTGAGGAAAAAAATAAGATTGAAACTCACCTAATAGTAAAATGCTCATTCCTTTCCCCTGGTCCCATTGAAAAGAGTAGATTTTCTAAGCAAAATCAGCAGTTCCATTCACTACTCCAAGGGCAGCTTGGCAGCTGAACGCTTGTGTCCACTCGCTGTCTGTTTCTTGCTCTGTATCTGCTCGCTTGTGAAACATGGACAGCGTTTACCAACTAACACTTGGACTACATTTAATTATGCAGAAGTCACCCTGTTTTAGATTAGAATTTTTATTTTTAAAAAGGAAATTAAATGGAAATAAATTTCTAGAAGCAGTATATTTATTTCGAAGCTATGGATTCTGATTCCTCCCTCACTTCTTTATATGCCATGCGTTATGAATTGAATTGTGTCTTCCCAAAAATTGTGTTGTAAATCGTAACCTCTACGCCTGTGGTCACAATCCCATTTGGGAATGGGTTGTCTTTGTTACGTTAATGAGACGGAATTAGTGTAGGGTGTGTCTCGAGTCAATCTCTTTGAGATATAAAAGAGATTAAACAAGCAAGTGAGAGAAGCGGAGTGAGAGAAGCAGAGGTGGGGGAAGAGAGATGTCAAGGCACATGAAGATTTCCCAGAAGCAGAACTCAGAATAGACAAGGACTTCCCTCCAGAGCTGACAGAGAGAGAAAGCTTTCCCCTAGAGCTGGCGCCCTGAATTCGGACTTCTAGCCTCCTAAACTGTGAGAAAATAAATCCACCCACTTGTGGTGTTTCTGTTATAGCAGCACTTGATAACTAAGACACCATGTAATCCCCAACCCACAGCCTGGGTGAGAGCCTTTTAACCTTTTCATCAGTTTGACTACAATAGTGGTAACTCCGCGGGAATCTTATGAAGAAAAAAGGAATGGCAAAGTTCTTCACAAACATAGTGTTCTAAATAAGGCTAACTATGAAAGATATGGAGGGAACCTGATAGGTAATGTCATCAGTGAGTGAGTGTAATGAAGAGTTGCCCTGGGATGCAGTTTTATTAAAATACATAAAGTGTAGAAAGCCGAGTGTTTCTAGGCTTTATTTCTTCAGCTCCTAAATTTCTAGTCCATTGTTTTAATAATCAGAAGAATTTACTGTCCTATCAGCCAGTTCCCCCGCTTTGTTCTGATTTCTCTATTTTATGATGTTCATTTTTCAAGTTGCCTCGTACCCATTTTGAATTAAGACAGATTGTCAACAAGTAAGAGAAAAAAATTAATCCACCATGACATCAAAGACAAAAATAGTTCCCTGGTGGCACAGTGGTTGAAAGCTCAGGCAGCTAACCCAGTGATCGGGAGTTCAAATCCACCAGCCACTCCTTGGAAAGACTGTGGGGCAGTTCTGCTCTGTCCTGTAGGGTCGCCAGGGGTCAGAATTGACTTGACAGCAACAGGTTTGTTTTTTTTTAAGAACACAGAGAGGTAGAAAAGGTTGAGGTCATGATGATTAGATGATTTAAAGATGTGGCCTGAGCAGACAGGTGCACACACACAGATATCATCCCCAAAGGCTAGTTGGTGTCCGTGGTTCGTGTTTGTGGATACGTTAAACACAGTATCGTGAACTTTAAAACCTAAGTGTTATTGAAAAAACAGACATTCTTTACGTACTTTTTACATGTTTTATGTATATATTTTATACACACACATATCGTTAGGAATATAATTATATAATATGTAGATACACACATATTTTATATGAGTGATGTGTGTGTGTGTACATATATATATATGTCCTTCTTACTTTTTTTTGTGGCTGTGTCATTTCTGGATTTCAGGACTTTGAAGAAGAGAAGAGAGACTCATAAAATGTCAGAGCTGAACAATCCTTACAGGTCATTGGCTTCAGTCAGATTATTTTACATGTCAGGAAAACTGACCCTCTGAGTAAAGAGATGACTTATTCGAAGTCGTATCACCAAGTAGTGACAGAGCCAAGACTCAAGTCCAGCTCTTTTTAGTCACCCTGTCAGGGTCCGGTTCTTGGTGCCATTCCCAAGGTGATTATTCGCTAATCTGACCCATAAAAAAACAAGGAACCAAACCCATCCATAGATTATAATTGTATATATTATAATTTGTTGCTGTGTCTTATAAAACCCCATACCCATTGCTGTCGAGTGGATTCCGACTTATTGCAACCCTACAGGACAGAGTAGAACTGCTCCATAGAGTTCCCAAGGAGCAACTCGTGGATTCGAACTGCCAGCCTTTTGATTAGCAGCCGTATCTCTCAACCACCATGGAGTCAAGTTAATAGGTGACCTGCACAGGAAGCCTCTGACTTTATTCTTTTTCCAGGATGGCATTTCATTTTATCGTCCACAGTTTTGAGACAAAGACCACAGATCCTAAGGAGGATGGGGAAATTGGACCATGTTCGGTTTGGGGAGAGAGAGATTTGGGAACAGGCAGAGCTATGGGGCCTTTCTCAGATTACACTGTGGAGTTGGTGGTTTTAACAACAGCTTTATTGAGATATAACTCACATACCATGTAATTCACCCATTTAAAATGTACGATTCAGTGATTGTTAGTGTAGTCAAAGAGTCGTGTAACCGTCAGCACAATCACTTTTAGAACATTTTATTGCCCCCCACCAAAAAACACCATACTCGTTAGCAGTTCCTCCCCATCGTCCCCTCACCTCCCAGCACTAGGCAACGACTCATCTACTTGTTATCGCAATAGGTTTCCTGTCTGGATGTTTCATGTAAATGGAATCATACCATCTGTGGTCTTCTGTGATCTGCTTCTTTCATTTGGCATGTTTTCAAGGTTCATCCATGTTGTAACATGTATCGTACTTCATTCCATTTTTAACAGAATAATATTCCACTGTATGGATATACATTTTTGTTTATCCATTCATCAGTTGATGGACATTTGAGTCGTTTCGACTTTTTGTCTATTTTGAATACTGCTGCTTTGAACATTTATGAACCAGTTTTTGTACCGACATATGTTTTTATTTCTCTTGGGTATACTCCTAGAAGTGGAATTGCTGAGTCATATAGTAACTCTGTGTTTAGCTTTTGAGGAATTGCTAGGTTATTTCTCCAATGGGCTGTGCCATTTTGCGTTCCCACCAGCAATGCATATGGTAGTTCAGTTTCTTCACATCCTTGCCAACACTCACTATCTATCTTTCTGATTATAGCCATCCTGGTGGGTGTGAGATGGTATCTCATTGTAGGCCTGCTCACTTTGGATTTAGTGTGCTATGCTTCTAGTTTCTTAAGGCAGATTAGGTTATCGACTTGAGGCCTTTGTTCTTTTTTAATGTTGGCATTTACAGCTAAGCATTATTTTTGCTGTATCCCATTAACTTTTGGTATTTTGTGTCTTCATATTCATTCATCTCAGAATATTTTCTAGTTTCCCTTGTGATTTCTTTCTTGACTACACTGTGGAGTTTTGAGTTTGCTTGTTTGTTTCATTCAGTAAATGTCTTCAAGTATCAAGTACATTCTGTCTGAGCAAGGAAGGTCCTGGGTAGCACGGAGGTTTGAGGAGCCGCGAGCTCACTGGCTGTTTCAGCATGGAGGGATCCATACCTGGATCATTGTATAACCCAAATTCAGGTCACAAACGGCAGAGCCAGTACTGAAACCTGTAACTCTGACACGCTAGTCTTTCTTATCGCCCCCTCCCCAGACTTCGCCTTGAAACTGGGCCTCACACCTGACTCTCTGAGTTGTTACTTTTGTTATTATTATGATTACACTTGTAAAGTACTTTACTGTCCCCAAGATCCTTTCACATTTGCTATTCCTTTTGATCCTCAACAAATTCCTGCAAAAATAGAGCAAGCGCTATCCCTGTTTTTCAAACGAGGACACTGGGATTAAGAGGCATTATGTGGCTTATCCAAGATCACAGTTATACAGGATCAGAATCTGGACTCTAAGTCTTTAGTGATCAAGGCCAAGGTATTTTTTCCATGGTTACATCTAGTTTTGACTGCCAAGAGGTGGCATAACCTTGTGACTAAGAGTGCTGGCTTTGGAGCCACATTACCTGGATTCAGAGCCTGGTTTTCCCCCTTATGTTTTATATGACCTTGGGGAAATCACTTAGTCGCAATATGCCTCAATTTCCTCATTTGTGGAATGAGTGGGGCTGGTAATAATAACACCTTGTTGAGATACACTGGAAGAGACAGTGCATGTAAAGCCAAATACTTAATAATCCAAGTTCTCCTGATAAGATGGATTTTTTAAGTATGTTATTCACCCTAGGCCTGTACTGGATGCCACTGAATGAGTATCTTATACAGATGTTAGAGTAATAAAACTTCGTTGTACTTAAGACAAAGGTTTTAATAAAAATTGGTGTTTGCCTTTCCAGCCCAAAAGTACTATGATGTTCTAAGTTGTGAGTGTACAAATACTTGGGCTAACAGGTGGGGATCCCACCTACAGTAGTACTTTGAGTAGGAAAATGGTTGAAGTAGAGAAGACTTTGGGTTCGGACGACAGAGTATGCGTGCAGTGCTCTGGAAGCCTCGTTCCGCCTGCCTTGGCCTTCGTCTCTGGTGTAGACACGGGCCACCTCAGATTTGGTGCATTCTTCATCGTGTGGGTTTTCAGAAGTGTTCTCTGATGATACAGGAACAGGGATCATTTTTTCCCAAAGGAAAGTTAGTCTGGGCCTCTCTGTTCCTACCATCCAGCAGCCCTTTATGGTCCATAGAGGGGGTCGCAGGCAAAGTCCTATACCCTGGGTGGACAGGGATGAATGTGCTTGCCATTTAGGGCAAAACAATCTCAGGAATAGGGGAAGTGGGTGTGGCAGTGCCAGTCTGGCTGAGAGGAATGATTTGTGGGACTCTGACAGGCCACCCGGAGCCCTGGTGGCACAGTGGTTAAGGGCTTGGCTGCTCACCGAAAGGTCGGCAGTTGGAATCCACCAGCTGCTCCTTGGGAACCCTATGGGGCAGTTCTCCTCTGTCCTGTAGGGTCACTATGAGCCGGAATCTGCCCAATGGCAATGGGTTTGGTTTTTTGGTTTTGACAGACCACCCATCTTCACGTAACTCCTCTGATGGTCAGCTCCGTTTTTTCTAGGTTAGACTGTGTGTCTCCTACACACCGTGCTGAGATACAGGTATCTCACCTGGCATATTAGCTGTGAAGCCTCCAACCCATTAGCAGGTGTCCATTTAATGGCAGAGTAGGTCCTCAGTTGAAGGAATACAGGACAGGCAAATTTTTATAAAGGGGAAGTGAAAGGTAGAGGTCCCCAGCCTTTCCCTCCTTCTGACAGAAATCACTGCCTTCATCTTTTTCCTCCACTGTCATTTCCTCTCAGCAGCACTTGACAAGCTTCTCAGAGGTGTCAGGCATTCGGAGTGTTAAGGGGGAAATGTAGGAGACAGAAGAGAAGAGTTTTGAGAGGGAAGGTTAAGTGGTCCTGCCCTTTTCAGCATTTCACCAGGTTTACATCCTGAGTCATACTTAATGTTGAGTGTTCTTACGCTACTGAACGGAGCCCCTAATGCGAAGCAGCTGGCCTTGGTCAAGTCCTCCCTTCCTCCCCTTCTGGCAAGAGAATCTTGGGAAATTCTCCTAACCTGTTGGAGCTTCAGCTCTCTCATCTGTAAAATGGGGATGAAATACCTGCCACACGGGATCGTTGAGATGAGAGTCAGACGTCTAGCGCCGAGTACAACGTGTGGCGTGTTGCAGGGACTCGGGAAGCGGTAGCTCTGAGTCTTTGTTGTTGGTTGTTAGTCGTTGTTGCTTCAGCTCTGACTCACGGTGACCTTATGAATAACAGAACAGAGCTTTGCCCGGCCCTGGGGCACCTTCGTGAGCATTGGTGTGCTTGGGTCCATGGTTGCGGCTATTGTGTCAGTCCATCCCGTCGAGTGTTTGCCTTGTTGTTAGGTCTCCCGCTGTTGTACTGAGAGACAATATTGGTCGGTGCTAATCTTCCCACACGGTTGTGATTGTCTGACCTTCCAGGCCATCGAAAACTTTGCCTTGACAATAAAGACCACTGCCCAGATGCTCCAGATGTTTGGGGCCTGCCTTGCCGAGACAGAGCTGCCCAGAGCCGTGCAGTCCACTGAAGACCTTCTCATGGCCCACACAAGGCAGCGGGACAAGCTGAAGGTGAGTGGTGAGTGGGCCCTCAGAGGCCAGCCCCCGTGCCGGCAGGATGGGTCAGTCTCCTGAAGAGCCTCAGCGGCCAGCCCCCGTGCCGGCGGGATGGTCAGCCTCCTGAAGAGAGCCAGGAGCAGACCTAAAAGTTAAGACCTCTCCTTCCTTCTTCTCCGGTGACTTGGCAGCCAGCAGACATCTTCAACTTCCAGGATAGGCAGTAGGTGAAGAGAAAAAATCTTGGCCTGAGGCTGGGTGGTGAATATGGGAGGATTGCAAGTAAGACCTGTGAGAAGCAGCCCAGCAAAGGGAAACTCATTCCAGCTTTGTGCTTGCCTGATGAGGTGTGTGAGCATCAGGGGCGGAGTATCCAATAGGGAAGGTAAGCACAGGCCTACTTGTGCTTACTTACTAATCTGTAGTAAACAATTTCACTACAGATTAGTAAGTAAGCCCGTGGTTACCTTGCTTGCTGGTTATCCACCCCTATCAGGGATTGTAAATTTGAAAAAAAGCTTTGATTCTGTAGGAAGATGCTGTGGGGTTAGGAGACAGTCAGATGCCAGCCATTCCTGGAAGCAGAATCTTCAATGTGATTAAAGAAAAAAGAAAGAAAGAAATTGTTCACTACAGATGATCTGGTAAGCAAAGTAAGCACTGTGCTTACCGAGCCTGTTGGATGATCTGCCCTTGTACTGAGCTCCTAGGATCCTGCTTAGGATGAGGCAAGACCACATGGGCTGAAATTGCACTGAGGGAGGGAGAGAAGGGAGTTGGCTGTTGAAGTATAAGCTTCCCAGCAGCTGTTGTGAAATTTCTGGGCAGACTGCTAAGCTGACTTATTGTTTCATTTTCTCCATGCCGTGTCTTTTTATCTGGGGACTAATTTGAGAAAAAGAATCTTAGGATGGGTTTGAGGAGAGGCACCATTAAATGATTCAGGAAAGCCCGTCTGAACGTGCTGAGAAGGGAGCTTGGCAGGTTCTTGCAGGTCGTGGAAAATGGAAGTCTTCCTGGGGTGTTACGAAGTGTGTGTCAGCCCCATTCTGCGTCGAGAAGCATAAGCAGTCTGAATCGAGTATGTCACAGGAGACCAGTCCTCAACAGGGCAGCAGATCGAGGATTGGAAGGTTGATACATCTTACCATTACATGTATCCTCACTCTGTGGAGCTTGTGAAGAGCTGGACGGTTTTATCTCTGACCTAGAATTTGCAAAACTGCTTTGCTGGGTCCTTGATTAGTTCATGTATTCAACATTTATTGCGTACCCGTCACTGCGTGTCCGCAAGGAGCCCTGGTGGCACAGCGATCAAGTGCTCTGCTGCTAACCAAAAAGCGGGCGGTTCGAACCCACTAGCCGCTCCGTGGGAGAAAGATGGGCAGTCTTCTTCTGTACAGGTTACGGCCTTGGAAACCCTGTGGGGCAGTTCTGCTCTGTCCTCTAGGGTCGCTATGAGTCGGAATCGACTTGATGGTGTGGGTTTCACTACATGCCAGGGAAATTAAAAAAAAACAGACCTCAAGGCACACATGGTCTAGTTAGGGAAATCTCAGAGTCTAGTGGCTGAGACAAATGAATTTTTCTGTGCATCAGTGAGCATTGTTAAATTCTCCCCCTAAGGAGCTTGGTACATACACAAAAGGAGTTTGAAATGTGTTCCTAAGATTACTCTGAGTAATCCAAAGATCTGGCCTGAAACGTTGAAAGCCTGAACACATCTTAGAAAAATTTCCTGTAAATGCTTCTGAGAAGGTTGACCGTTTTCTTTTCTAAACAGACTGGCTGAATTCACTGAGGGCTGTGGGGACCATGGTCTCAGGGAACATCTAGCTCAATTGGCATAACATGGTTTATAAAGAAAATGTTCTACATTCTGCTTTGGTGAGTAGCGTCTGGAGTCTTAACAGCCTGTGAGCAGCCATCTAAGATACTGCACTGGCCTCACTCCTTGGGAGCAAGGGAGAATGAAGAAAACTAAAGATACAAGCGAAAGATTAGTCCGAAGGACTAATGGACCACAAGTACCACGGCCTCCCCCAGACTGAGTCCAGCACAACTAGATGGTGCCCAGCTACCACCACTGACTGCTCTGACAAGGATCACAACAGAAGGTCCCGGACAGAGCTGGAGAAAAATGTAAAACAAAATACTAACTCACAAAAAAAGACCAGACTTACTGGTCTGACAGAGACTGGAGAAACCCTGAGAATATGGCCCCCGGACACCCTTTTAGCTCAGTAATGAAGTCACTCCTCAGGTTCACCCTTCAGCCAAAGATTAGACAGGCCCGTAAAACAAAATGAGACTAAAGGGGCACACCAGCCCAGGGGCAAGGACGAGAAGGCAGGAGGGGACAGGAAAGCTGGTAAGAGGGAACCCAAGGTCGAGAAGGGAGAGTGTTGACATGTTGTGGGATTGTTACAGCCAAGAAAACCCTGTGGAGCAGTTTTACTCTGTAATACGTGGGGGCACCACGTGTCAGAGGCTGACTGGATGATAGCTAACAGCAGTCAGAGTACTCTCAGTTTCAGTGTGTTATTTTTTGTCCAATCCGACTGTGGGTACCTAGGCTTCAAGCTAGGATTTGGAAACCATAATTCTCTGTGATTTTTCTTTACCACCTGAGAGTTCTGTACGTGCAGTAGCGTTAGCTTTCTCTAGAAAGTGAAGTCCTGATGGGCTGAGACGCACAGACACGATTGTGCACACCCATCCTCTCCATGAGTATGCCTTTGGCCTGTGGGTCAAGAGTTAGGGAATATAGTCAGGGCACGCACACAGGTGCCGTAAGCTCTCTGTGAATTGTATCCTCCAAGGAGAGGTTCTCATCTCCTGAGGAAAGGCAACTTCAACAAGTTATGAGCTACTCCTCACTTCACAGGAGGTGCAGCAGCATTCACCCTACCACCAGGGGGACCCTGTCTGTGCAGACAGGACACCGGAAGGTAGAATCAACTTAGGAGATGTTCCTGGAGGACCATTCTTGGCTCTCCTTCTCCAGCCTGAGTGCTGGCGGGAAAAAAATGAAATTCCTGAAATGATTAAGAATATTTTATTACCATGGAAACTGAAACCGCTTAAGATCCTTGGGCCACAGGACAGCTGGATACACACATGGAAAATAGTGAAGTTGAACCCCTACCTGGAGGCAGATACAAAAATTAACTCAAAACCGATCAAAGATGTAAGTGTAAGAGCTAAAACTATAAAGGAACCCTAGTGGCCCAGTCATTAAGAGTTCGGCTGCTAACCAAAATGTTGGCAGTCTGAATCCACCAGCCACTCCTTGGAAACCCTATGGCCCGGTTCTACTATGTCCTATAGGGTAGCTGTGAAAACATAGCTGTAAATCTTCATGACTTAGGGTTGTAACACCAAGAGCACAAGCAAAAAAATGAAAACATAGGTAAGTTGGACATCATCAAAATTAAAATAGCTTATGCTTCAAAGGACACCACCAAGACAGTGAAAAGACAACCCACAGAATGGGGGAACGTATTTTCAAATCGTATATCTGATAAGGGTACAGTGTCCAGAATATATAAACAACTTTTATAACTCAACCTTAAAAAGACAAATAACCCAATTTAAAAATTAGCAGAGAATTTGAATACTCATTTCTCCAAAGAAGATATACAAATGGCCAGTAGGCACATGAAGAGATGCTCAGCATCGTTACTCATAAGGGAAATGTAAATCAAAACCGCAATGAGATATGCACTAGAATGGCATAGTCAGAATAAAAACTCATTTCCGTCAAGTTGATTCTGATTCCTAACAACTCTATAGGACAGAGCAGAACTGCCCGGTAGGGTTTCTAAGGCTGTAATCTTCACAGAAGCAGAGTGCCACATCTTTCTCCCGTGGAGCAGCTAGTGGGTTTGAACCTCCAACATTTCGGTTAGCAGCTGAGTGCTTAACCACTGTGCCGCCAGGGCTCCTGTAGTCAGAATAGCTATAATCAAAAAGATAAACAATAACTAGTGTTGGTGAGGGTGTGAGGAGATTTAAAGTCTCATACATGGCTGGTGGAAGCGTAAACTGGCAGTTCCTCAAAAAGTTAAACGTAAAGCTACCATGTTGTTGTTGTAAGGTGCTGTCGAGCTGGCTATGACTCAGCGACCATATGTACGATGGAACGAAACACTGCCTGGTCCTGCATCATCCTCACAATCGTTATGCTTGAGTCCATCATGGCAGCCACTGTGTCAGTCCGTCTCGTTGAGGGTCTGCCTCTTTTTTGCTGACCCTCTACTTTACCAAGCATGATGTCCTTCTCCAGGGACTGATTCCTCCTGATAACATGTGCAAAGTATGTGAGACGTAGTCTCACCATCCTTGCTTCTAAGGAACATTCTGGCTATTCTTCCTCCAAGACAGATTTGGAATAAGGAAGACCGAAGAAGAATTGACGCCTTTGAATTATGGTGTTGGCGAAGAATAAAGCTACCATATGACCCAGCAATTCCACTCCTAGGCATATGCCCCAAAGAATTGAAAACATATTTCTCTATAAAAGCTTGCACACAAATGCTCATTAGCAGATTATTCACAATAGCCCCTGAAAAGTGGAAACAACTAAAAAATCCATCAACTAATGAACGGATAAACAAAATGTGGTATATCCATACGATGGAGTATTATTCAGCCATAGAGAGAAATGAAGTACTGATACATGCTATGAGATGAACCTTGAAAACATATTGCTAAGTGAAAAAAGCCAAAAACTAAAGGCCACATATTGTATGATTCTATTTATATTAAATGTCCAGAATAGGCCAATGCACAGAGAAAGGAAGTAGGTTAGTGGTTTCCAAGAGCTGGGAGATGGATGAATGGGGAGTGAGTGTTAAGGGATACAGGATTTCTTTTGGGGGTGATGAAAGTGTTCTGGAAAAAAAAGTGGGGTTGTACACTTTAAAAGGGTTAATTTATGGTATGTGAATTATATCTCAGTTTAAAAAAGATCCTCAGGCCCCAAGACAAGACAACATAAAATAACAACTACA